AAAAAAAAAAAAAACGTCCTAACAAAAATATCTTCCAGAACCAAAATAGAAATAGACGTTTCTTTCAGGCATACAAAAGCTGAGAGAACTCTAGCATACCCAGACTACAAAAAAGATGCAGAAAGATGTCCCTCAGGCAGAAAGAAAGTGAGAGCAGATGGAAATCCAGATCTCACAGCAGAATGAAATATCTCCTACTGGGTAAACACACAATCTGGTCTCATTCGAGGTAACTGACTTACTGCTGTGTGCAGTTGTGCTGATGATACTGACTCCACATTTGGCCCTACATCTTGTTAGTGTTGCTTGATGACCTCTCCTGGGCCCCTGTGTTCCCGGCCCCTTGGAAACTCATATACAGGTCTTAGAAGTGCCCACCAAAACTGGGATGGGGGAGGTTTGCTTTGGCCTCCCGTGAATCTGTTAGAGATAACCTAGTTTTTCTCAGACCTTATATACCCTTCAGTCTCCAGCAACCGAGGTCGCTTGTGTCATAACTACAGAAGGTGACACTGACACATCCCTTTTCCTTGCCAAGCAGTGTTCCCTACAATGGCTGTACCACTATGTAACCATCGCCCACTGAAGGACAGCTGGGTTGTGACCAGTTACTGGCTGTTGAGAATAAGGTTGCTAAGAGCCTTTGGGTACAAGTTTTATTATGAATTTGGGATTTCATTTCTCTGGGATAAACACCAAAAACAGCAACTGTTGCATTACATGTTAGCTATGCGGTTGGTTTTGTAACTGACCCTCTTTTCCAGATGGAGTGCACCATGTTACATTCCTGCCAGCAATGCATGATCAATCCTGTTTCTCTGCCTCCTCGCCAGCACTGGGTGTTGTCTCTATTTTTTATTTTAGCCATCCTGCTAAGTGTAGAGTGACATCTCGCTGGGGTTTTGATCAGCATTTCCCTGGTGGCTAATGATGGTGAATATCTTCCATGTTATTTGCCTTCAGGGTGTCCTCTGGTGTGAAACATCTGGACATGTCTTTTGCTTCTGTTCTAACTGGATTTTTAATTTCTTTTTTTTTATTGTTTACTGTTGACCATTCTTTATATACACAGTAAAACTGTGGATTGTGAACAACTTGTTCTGTGAGCATTCCACAAAATGAGCAAACATTTCTAATAAATTTTAACTTGATAAACTGAGCGATGTGTTGCAATATGAGTAGTACGTGACACTGAATGTCACATGATTACAACTGAGCCAATGGTTCTTCTCTCTCTCTTTCTCTCTTTCTCTCTCACTGCAGGATTGTGGGTGATTGTCTTCTATGCTCAGATGCTCATGCTCAGTCTCAGGCCATGGCATTTCACAGAAATCAGTGGTTTTTCAAAACATTGGAAGGTGCCCACAACTGGCACTTGTGCTTTTTTTTTTTTTTTTTTTTTTTTTTTTTTTTTTTTTTTTGTCACTTCCAATCACCTATGGACAGCCCTTTGCTTTTCCATACAAGAGTGAGCTTAGGTAGGAATGCTTAGCTTCATTCTAGGTCAGGCTGCCTGCAGATATAGATCATTTCCTCTGCCGCCTTACTGACAGTTACATTCAATACGTGACAAGAGTTTATTATTACTGTAGTGAGGTCAACATCTGTGTGAGTGTATAAAATGGCCCCCATGCAGAAGGTTCCATGGAACCAATAGATAGCAGTGATTCCATTAGTGATAGTGAAGGTTGCCCTACACAATAATCCTCCTCTCCCTTGTCTCCCTTACACCAGCCACAAACATTTTCAGGGTAAGTACATGTTAATTTTTCTTTATATTTTGTATTTTCTTGATTATTTTGCATTATATTACAGTATTGTAATCATTTTTATATGAGTATTTGGGGACTGTGCAGCAAGTCATCTGAGTTTCTATTGTTTCTTATGGGGAAATTTGCTTTGATATACGAGCACTTTGGATTACAAACATGCTTCCGGAATGAATTATGCTCACAAACCTAAGTTTTCCTACACATATATTTCATGCTTTCCTTATTTTTATTGGTTTCAGAGGTAGAATTTATTGTATATATTTTTAGATAAAGTCCTTTACTAGATATGTGGTTTGCAGATACCTTCTCCCATCCTGTACTCTGACAACCCTCTGCACGGGGTCTTTCTCAGAGCAAACATTCATAACCTTTACCAATTTTCCCTTTTATGGGTGTGCTTAGTATCAAATCTAAGGAGTGTTCTCCTGGATCCTAAATATTTTTCCCTATTTTTTTTCCTGAAACCTTCCTTCATAGTTTTGTATTTAACATTTACATATATAGTCCATCTTGAGCTAATTTTTGTATAAAGCCAAGGTCTAATTCTTTGCCTATAAATGTCCCAATGACTCCAGCACTACTTGAGATTCTATCCTTGAATCTGAAATTCTATCCTGCCTCCACTTAATTGCCCTTGCACTTCTGTCAACAATCAAATGGATGTACTTGTCCTGAGGCCCACCAGGAGTCTCGGCATTAGAATACAACATGGGATTTAAGAACTGTGTGCTAGGAACCCGGAACAAGACCAAGTACATATTTCTTGTTGTGCCATAGCTAACCGCCCAAGTGTGCCAGACACCTCCAAACTGTCCCAGGCCCCTCCCCAGCCTAGGCACCTCCCAAGGAGATAAGGTCTCTGCCCCCACCCCAGCCACAAGATATGAGGCTCCACATCCTGTCCGACCCAAAACCAGTGCTCTCTGGGGGCTGCCACACTCACGGTCCACACGGAGCTCTGCCTTGGTGGACGACACACCCATGCTGTTCTCAGCCATGCAGCGGTAGACACCCATGTCTGCAGGCACCACTGCAGTGATGATGAGCTGGTGGCCGCCCTGTTGGTCCTCACTGATCATGTAGTGGTCATCCTCCTCCAGCATCCTGCCGTCCTTGAACCAGCACACGGTGGGCACCGGCTGGCCTGTCACCACACAGTCGAAGCTCACGGGGTACCCGTCCTGCACCTCCTGATTCTGCAGCTCAGTCAGGAACACTGGGGCTGGGAGGGTCAGGCAGGGTATGCAATGAGCTGGCCCCAGGGTCCCCACCAGTCAGCCCAGCTGCCAGCGGCTCAACGTGCATCCAGTTCACGGCACCCATTCACGTGGGAGTGCTTGCAGACCCCGGGGCTAAACACAATTCTGTGTCTGCCAGCTTCACCCCTGTTCTCTAGGAGGATCCTCTCCTTGCCAGCCTGCATCTCAAGCCACTGAGAAGCCAGAGGGATAGTGGGCAGGAAACAGGTAGGAGGGGCAGGTAAAGAGAGACAGAAGTCGTGTGGGCTGCAAGCATGAGAATGGCCCATAATTGCACAGGGGAGGTTTCCAGACATGAGGCCATGGGGGTTATATACCTTCTTTACTCCTAGGGAAACACAAGGGAATGGTGGAGTAGCTTTAAAAATAATTTTAGTTGCTGGAGCAGAAGATGGGGGCCGTGGAATGCCACCTTTTATACTGGTTTTACCCCAAACCCTCACGGAGCAAACACAAACTCTGGAAAGTCCATATTTCTATACCCATTTCATAGACAACACTGAGGCTCAGAGTAGCTAGCACGTAACAGACAGAGCTGGACTTAAACCGAGCTCTAACCCCAAATTCAGGGCTCCTCCAGCTCAGGCAGCTGCATCCGCAGTGGCCCCAAGCTGGAGCCCAGCCAGCTCCCTGAGTCTTCAGCTGACCCAGGTCACACCGGCCCTGCCCCCC